TGAAAGATGGTTTTGCAGGATACATCAGTCTAGATTGGAGGTTGTTTTCTTTTAAGACTTGAAATACCTCACTCCAGGCTATCTTGACTTGAGGGTTGGTATTGAAAAATCTGCTGTTATTCTGATGGGCTTTCCTTTGCATGTGATTTGTTTCTTTTCTCTAACTGCTTACAGTATTTTGTCCTTCTGTTGGGTTTCTGGGATCTTGACTATTATATGTCTAGGTAAAGATTTTTTTTATTATGGCTATTTGGAGTCCTACATGCCTCACTTATCTGTATGTCAAATTCTTCCTCCCTGTTTGGGAAGTTTTCTGTCATTAATTCTGTGAACAGTTTTTTTAAAAATGTCGTTTGTACTTTCTCTTGATACTTCATTGACTCCTATCAGTCTTATATTAGTCTTCCTGGCATCATCTTGGTGTTGCTGGATCAATTTCTCATGATCCCTCACTGTTTTTAAGAGATCTCTCTTTTCATGGTCACTGACTTCAAGTCCTATCTTCTACATCTGAAATTCTATCTTCACATTCACTCATTCTGCTGCAAATGTTTTCAATAGAGTTTTTAATCTCCTGGATATCTGAATCTGTTTCAAGGGTTCCATTTCTTTCCTATGCTGGGCATTCATGGTTTCCATCATGGTCTAGAGGTCATTTTTTAAATCTGTTTCTGTTCTAGACTCTCTAACCATGTCTTTCATTTTTATCACCATTTCTGTGGTTATCTGGGAAATTATTTGTTTTGAATTTTTCTAGAGCCTCATTTATCTGTTTTATTACTTCCTGTGCTATCAGTTCAGGTTGTCCAGATGGTTGACTGTCAGACTTTTTCCACCTCATTTCCCCAGAGTTTACCTTTGGTGAGATGGAAGTCTGTGTTTGTGCCTTGTTTAAATGTCTTTTCATTTCTATTATTGTTGTTGGTCCTGTCCTTGGTTTAATTCCTGGGTTAATATTTCGATCTTCCAGATAAAGCTTGTCTTTAGGTTTTGAGTCTCTAATGACTCTGAGGCAATCTCATTTTCATTATACCAGGGAGGACAACTGATTAGATCAATCACAACACTAGCCCAAGTGATAAAATCAGCAACACAAAAGCAACAAGCACAGCTTAGAAAATGACAATATTTGGTAGTTATTAATCCATCACCTTTAACTGTGTGAATTAAATAAAACTCGAGGACCAGCCCAAAATATGCTTAAAGTGAATAAACTCTTCAGTATAGCAACTTTACCCTTTGGGATGGGGACTTAGAAGGAGTTGGAGGGGGAGGGACAGATGGGATAGAGAAAGGTTAGAACTGAGGCCAGGGGACACAGGAAGGTCACACAGACTCTAGGGAGCCATTGAAGAGAAGAAGACAGAATAAAATATACAGAAGAACAGAACAAACTAAAGTAATGGGGGGTTAGAGATTGTAATTACTTCCTTTTAAAATTAGTGGCAATTGAGAGAAGGAAAAAGAGAAAAGGAAAAGAAAGAAAAAAAAGAAATTTGAATTAGGACAGGAACAGAAACAAAGAGGAAGAGAACTGAAGAACAAAGGGGGGGGAGTGGGAAAGAGGGAGGGGGAAAGAAAAAGAAGTCGAAAAAGAAAAAACGAGAAAATAAAATGATAAAAATTTTAAATGATTAAAGATAAGAAAAAATATTACTTTGAAAATAAAAAACAAATAGAAATAGAGGGCCTCCTTCAAGGTGTGCTTCTGCTGACACAATAGACAGCGTGGGCAGGAGTGTGCAGGTCTAAGCTAATTAGCTTCAGCCAGCATCTGTCCCCTGAGGTTTAGGCTGATTTCTGGCTGCAAGGCCCAAGTTGAGATCTCTGTCCTCTTGCTGGGTTGAACTCTGCAAGATTCTACTGCGGGTTCCAGCTGTCTTTCCCCTGAAGGTAGACCAGGTTCTGGTGTGAGGTGCTGGTCCCTCCGATTTATGAACTATGGTGGTGTGGCGAGCCTTTATCACAGATTTTCTTCACTTTTCCAGTCAGCTTCAGTTTTCATCTAGGAGCCTCAGAGAGGCCGTCTTTCTCTTGTTTTCTGGGAGTGGGTGGGCTGGAGGCACGGACATCACTGTGTTGGCTCCTCTGCTGCGCTGGGTCAAAGGGCAACACAGTTATTTCTTGACACCAACTCACTCCTGTGCACCTCAAACTCACTGTGTGTCCGGAGCAAGACACCCCGATCTTGCAGCTTGCTGTGTGGCTAGGATAGCTCTTCTTCCACTTTCTTGGCATTTGCCACACTTTGAATAAGCTCCCACTTTGTGCTGTATCATCTTGACACCCCTGTTTTCTGCTAAAAGCCCCGCTTCTTTCTTCACCAGAGTGAGGGCAAGGACCTGGAGAGAGGTGGAGGGTCATTTTGGGGGGTCCCTACCCCCCACAACTCCCACTGCACACAACAGAGGCAGGTTCTCCTATGCTGGGACTGGCTTGTTCTGGGTCAGTTGGACAAATAGTACAGTCGTTATGGAAAATGGTCTGCAGGGTCCTCAAAGCACTTACCAGCCAGACCGTCAATGATAGAACCTCCTGTCTTGAAAGTGTACCAAAGAAAGTAAACTCGGGTCTAGAGGAACGTTCTGCCTGTGTTTATTGTAGCATCAATCACAGCAGATAAAACGTGGACTCAATCTACACATTCACTCGATGAGCGAATAAGAAGATTGTGCTATATATACACAATGGAATACAACTCAACCTTAAAAAGGAAATCTTAGCACACTGTAATCCCAGTACTTGGGAGGCAGAGGCAGGAGGGTCACCTCGATCAAGACCATTCTGGGCAACACAGTGAGTTCAAGGCTAGCCTGGAATACACAGCAAGATCCCCTCTCAAAAAGCCAAACTTCTTCCCCAAAAGAAAACTCTGCAATCTGTTTCACTTTAATACCATATTAAAAAAATAAATATCACTTTTTTTTGCTTTCTTTTGTTATGATTTGGTACACAGGGATAGAACTCCAGCCCTTGCACTTGCAAGGCAGGCGGCAGAACCACTAAGCTAAATCCCCAGCCCTCACTTAGTTGTTTTTTTTTTTTCAAGGAATTTCTCTATCTTTTGATGTTTCTGTGTGCATTGGTACATTTCATTTTTGTTAGTGCATAATTTTTCTTTTCTTTTTTTTTTTTCCTTTGGTACTGGGGATTGAACGCTGGTCCTTGCACTTGCAAGGCAGTGCATCATTTTTCTTATACTGTTAATTTTACTTACAAGTTAATGCTGATCAAATACATCTGAAAGTAAGTGGCTTAAGAAAAGATACTTTTGGCTGGCAGTCTAAGGCATGTACCTTAATTTATGGTTTCAGAGATTTCCAAATGGGTAACCCAGGGCCTGCGGTACCAACACTGCCTTTCTGAGTCCAGGCAGAGCTTTGGATTTATCAATGGCAAAGGTGTCCCTGACATATGCTCATAGTAACTGAAGCAGCAAAGTGGTTGTATTTTTTTAGTTTTTCAGACAGCCAGGTAGTTCAGGCTGTCCTTGAACTCACTGTGTAGGCCAGGCTGGCCTTGAATTTGAGTCAATCCTCCTGCCTCAGCCTCCTGAGTGCTGGGATAACATGCCTGAGTCCCACCCAGGTTAAAGTGGTCATAGAGTTCTTAAATATGGGTGAAAGTTCTGGTATCCCTGAGAGTTTGTGCCACTGTTCTGAGATGTTTGAAGAGCACAAAGCCAGGAGCAGCATGCCAGTGAGAGCAGTTGATCCTATTTTCTAGGCACATGCATGGCCTGCCAAGGTTTTCTAACTCCCATTTTCGTATCCATCTTTAAACACATGCACACAAATCCTCATTAGTCCTATTTCATTCTGGGAAAAATCCCCATGGTGCTCACACAGGGAGGACGGGACCCTTGGAAATCCAGGAATCTGACAGTAATGCTCTGCTTTATGTGGCACCATCTGGGATTTTTAACTACTGGGGATCAAATCCAGGGTCTCTCTCGTCTCACACACTGTCCTGCTGAGCTGTATCTTCAGCCTTTTTAAAAAAAATACAGTCCCAATAAATTGCTCACACTGGCCTTGGGACCTGAGATCCTCCTGCCTCAGCCTCATGAGTAGCTTGGATTAGAGGTGTGGTCCTTGTGCCAGGCACATCTGGAATTTTCTTCCAAACAAATGTGCAGTATTTTGCATTTTTTACTTTAGTCATTTATCTCACTCACAGTTTTTATTACACTTTCATGAGCTTTTGAGCATCACTAAGCACTGTGTAGCACTTTGCATTGATCCTTCTGTGTTAACGTTCCCTTGTGATGCTATTACAATTTAAATGCTGCTTCCAAGTGGAGAAAGTCCTCGCTCCCCCATTCATAAAAGCTCTTTGATGTTCTTCTGAATTCTAGACGTTGCCCAGAGGGGAAAACCTGCTTCAGGTATATAGTGAACTCAGTGTGCCAGTCCTGCATCCTGTTTCCCATACTATCTGTCTGATTGGCTGGTGGTGACATTCTTTTCCTATTTTTAAATATTTCGTATTGCTGAAAATGCACATTTCTTGGATTTCATGTTTACAAAGCCTGTGTGATGACTGCTGGTAATTCTTTGCACATCCTTGCTTTTTGATGGATTTGTTTTTATCTCTAGGGGCTCTGTTGATTTTTTTCCCCTCCGTCTGGGAGAAATGTGTGTCCTGTTTCTAAGTCCTTCTAGCCAGATGATTTTGAGGATGTTCCCACCAAGAGTTTTCCAGGATCCCAGCTTTTCAGGTTCAGCCATGGGGCCAGCAATGGCTGGGTGGAAACAGTATCGGCTTATTTACTTTGAAAACGTGCCACGAGCACATTTTGGATACACAATGAGCGCACTCGCCCTGGGGAGCTGGTCCGCAGCATACAGCACCCTCACCCTCTCCCACCCGCTCCATCCCCGGATCTGGATTTGGCTTTGGGCACCGTTTTACGCGGGAACTCAGACACACAACCCTTGAACTCGGGCCTCTTCCCAGGGCCCCCTGCCCCTTCTCCATTGACGCCCTTTTACTCCCACCTTTCTTGACTCCTTTGAAGACGTACGCAGTGACCACAGTAGCCGGAAGCTCTCCTCTTTTCCGATTCGATTCTGACTCTTCCCCGCACCCCCAGAAAGGCCCTTCTGAAGGTCCCCCGCTGCGCATTTTGACTTCACCAAAGTCGCACGCATCTTGTCCTGAGCCACAGACGCGCATCGCAGGCTCTGCGGGGTGGGCGGTGGGCAGAGGCGCCTCGGCATTTTCAATGGAAGTTTACGAAGTGCTCCTTGGGATGCAGCCCCACAGCAAAACGAGGCTTATTGGTAGTGGCTCGGTATTTTATTTTAGAATTTTAGCCTTAAAAAATCTTTAGCAAACGTCTCCATTTTAACAACACCGTTTCACTGTAAAAATTCTTCATAAGCGCACTAATTACTTGCACAATTAGAGGGCTATAAAACATTATTTAAAACACGAATGGCAAGCCAAAGTTTCTCTTCTGAGACGTGGCTTGTACCCTAATAGCAGTACATGGAAACTGGAAGTTCACTTTTATTATTCAGACACAGTAGATGCCCGTGGGTGACATAAAATGCGACAGGAAGTGTAAAGTTCAGTGGGCGTGGCTGCGGCAGGGGGCGTTAACATTTTTTCAAGCTGCTCCCTGATTGGCCCATTTGACTGAAAAAAAAATCAGCTCCTTGTTTAAAAGCACAGATTTATCAGGATGGGCTCCGGGAAGGGCTTTGGATTACTGACGGGCTCCTTTTCGTAAAGTAACGAAGAAGCCTTATATTTTACACTTTTGGAAAAGTCACTTTTCTGTCAGAAATTACCAGTGCACATCGATCTTGTTAAAACGCGCTGCTGCCACCTCCTAGAAAACGGCGTTATGATCACAAACTGTCTCTTCCAGGTGGCCGGAGTCACACACAACCTGCGATAATACAGAGGCCACGCGTGAGAAAGCTCCCGCTTCACAGCTGGTGTCCCTGTGCAGTGCACGGGGCCTGAACGGCTGTACACGGCTTAGTTGCTTTCTGGGCCCGGTCCTGAGGGTTTCTCTGGAGAATTTCCTCGTCATAAGGGCGACTCTGGGGAGGTTCCTGGGTTGCCCTTTGCCTAATAACCACAGAGGGGATGGTGTGGGAGCAGTCTGGAGATGTAAAGACAAGAAGGGATAAGAGGTACTTCTATCCTTGAGCTATGTGATAGATTACTTGTGTTTTTTAATTATTATTATTATTATTATTGTTGAGACAGGGTCTCACTACATGGCCCACGCTGGCCTGTAACTCATCGAGATCCCCCTGCCTCAGCCTCCTGACTGCTGGGATTACAGGCATCCACCCCAGTGCCCAGTTTACTTGCACATTTTAAACCACCCCCCTCAAGACATGGTCCAAAGAGCAGGCGGCGAGGAGGTAATACAAGGGGCACAATGCCCATCTTGCCCTCCTTTCCCCTCCTCTCTGTGAGCCCAGGGCTGCAGGCCCCATCCCCCCACCCCTCTCTCACTGCTGGCCGTTTGGGTGGACAGGACCCCCAGAAGCGAGTTCTGCGGCCGCACAGTGCATGCGTCCCTTCTCCAGCTCAGGGGCAGCAGCTGTGCATGGCTGGTGCTTGGGAGGAAGCCACTCGCTTTGGGAGCCTCAGGACAGGGCCAGTAGATGGTCTTGACCCTGGGTCGGGGTCAAGTCACTGGACTTTGCAGGTCCATCATCAAATGCTTGGAAAGAGCTTCCCTACCTGGATCTACTGCAGCCCCCAGACCCATGCGCCAAGGCTTGGTCCAACCTCAGGGTGCTGCTGGGAGGAGGAGGAACCTGTAAGAGGTGAGATTGGTAGAAGGAAGTGAGGTCAAGGGGGCGTGGCCACTAAGAGGAAGTGGGGCTCTGGCCCCTCCTCTTCCTGTCTCTCTGCCTTAATTTCCGGTTTCCATGAGGTGAGCAGCCTGTTTTGTCGTTTGCTTCTGCCAGGATGCATTGTCTCCCACAGCCCAGAAGCAAGGGGTGACTGTCCATGGGCAGAGACCTCCAAAACAGGGAGCCAATAACCCACTCTGCTTTTTAAGTTGTCATCTCCGGCGTTTCTTTACAGGAACAAAGCTGCTGACTTCACTGTCTACTCTGATTTCCTCTCACAAGAAAACCATGGGAACGTTTAAGCCACAGGTCAACCACCAGGTCTGGAAACATCAATCCTATTTTATCATACAGCATAGGTAATAATAAACCACGAATTATGTATTCAATGATTGTGTGAATTTCCTTTTCCTGCCTACAAATTATGATGAACTTAGTAACTTATAAAAACAGATTTAAGGCTGGGTATTGTGGTGCACACCTCTAATCCCAGCACTCTGATAGGCTGAGGCAGGAGGACTGAAAATTCAAGGCCAATTTGGGCTATCTAGAAGGTGCAATGCTGTCCTGGATGACATAGCAGGAAATTGTCTTAAAAACAAAAAATACACAGGACTTCATTGATTAATGTTCTGAAAGTCCGAATTCCAAAATGGTTCTTATGGGGCTGAAATCAAGAAGTCTGCAGGGCTGTGCTCCTTCCTGAGGCTCCAGGGGTGAACCCTTCCTTTTGAGTCTTGGTATCCAGATCCCCCATCATTCCTCGACTTGTGGCCACACCTCCCACATTCCTCTCTGTTCTTCTGTCTCCACCCTTTCCACCTCCTGGGTAATGGCTCCTGGGGAGAGCTCAGGTCCTTCCAGGTCAGCTTGGGAAAACCTCTGCCAAAGCCCCTGCGCTGAGTACAGTCACAGTCCCTGTGTGCTTCCAGAATTGGGGTGTCCACCTCTTTGGAGGTCAGAATTCGATCACGTGATGCTTCTAGTCTTGACGATCATTCTAGGTTGGAAATAAAATTGGTGTACTGAGAGTGTCCATGCTTGTCCATAGGTACTGAACATGCCAGAAAGTCAGGAGAGAAGGCAAGCCCGGTGTCTTCTTCAAGTTTCTGCTGGACATTTGAAGAAAAGGAGAAAGAAAACCATGTGTGGTGGCACACATCTGTAACCCCAGCACTGTAGGAGTGTCGAGGCAGGAGGATCCCAAGTTTGAGCCCAACCTGGGCAAGTTAGTGAGGCCCCGTCTCAAAGTAAAAATACAAAGGGCTAGGGATGTAGCTCAGTGCAAAGGCCCTGGGTTCAAATCCCTAACATCGCAGACACTCGCACGTGCACATGCACATGCAACACACACACACTCACTCCCCAACCCTCTTTTCTGGGAGGCAGACTTGAGACTTGGATCTCCTCCTCACTTCGTGTGCAGCCGTCTTGGGAATGAATTCTTCCTCTTGCGAAATTCATTATTTCAGTCACTGGCACGTCATCACTGGCCAGCAGTGAGAACTGTACAGGGGGCTGGAGGCATGCAGGAGGGTGTGCCAAGGGCACGGACAGGTAGGTTGCCCTCCTTTTTGCAACTTGAGTGTTGGTGGGTTTTGGAATCCTCAGGGATCTGGGAACCAGTCCCCTGTGGACACTCAGGGACAGCTGTATTTTTTTAAATTTTACAAATTGTGAACAAAAGTCCCTCGATACCAGCAATTTATGTTGTGAGGATAGAGAGTGTGTGTGTGTGTGTGTGTGTGTGTGTGTGTGTGTTATGTATTTTGAGGGAGCATCTAGCTGTGTAGTTCAGGCTGGCCTTGAACTTTGTAGCTTAGGCTGCCCTCAAGCTCATAGTGATCCTCCTGCCTCATCCTCTGGATTGCTGAGATCACAGGTGTGCTCCATGTCTTGTGTGAAGGTGGTTTTGACAGTCCAAAACAGGTTTTGAAATATGGAGGCCCAGGGGATATGAAAGCGGAGATTTCTGACTCAGAGCCAGTGCTGCTGCTGCCAGCCACAGTTCAGGCCTGAACTATCTCCTCAGCACTGTCACGCGCACCTCGCCAGCAAGGAGCACGCAACACTCAGGATTCTTCTGATGCACGCTTTATTGGAGTTTCTTCTACAATCTTCAATGGCGGAAAGACCCGGAGCCGGATGCAAGCCTGCTTTTATATCCACCCAGGCGTTGTGGCCTGTTTCTATTGGTCAATGCCAGCCTGCATCATTCTGACGAGCCAAGCGCCTCATCTGCGCAAGCGCAAACCACCGTCACCGGCGGACTCAAACCCGGAATTCATGTAGGGCATGAAGAACCCGGAAATAATGGCGCGTGACACAGCACATCTTCCCCATCATGCCTGGCACAAGGGAAAATGTGGCAGGGTTCTCCTTGGTGACCTCAAGGTATTATTTTTTCCATTTTTTATTGGCCAGGATAAATGAACCAAGTCTCTATTACCATAACTGATGTTGCATGAATAGGGTGACTGGAAAAAATATCAGGAGGTTTGTAGTGGTCGTGTAGCTCTGTCGCTGCCTGTTCTTGGGCAGAGGTTTTGCTGTAGTCCAGGGCTTTGCTTATGGGAGCCTCCGGGACTCAAGGGGACCCAGGGTCCTCCATGGTGACACAGGCAGTTGGCGGGCACTCGCCCAGCCTGTGCAAGCCCTGGGATCTGTCCTCAGTGCCCGGGCAGGTGCAAGAATGTGCGTCACCAAGAGGGAAACCCCTGCAGCAAGTGCTCAGGGTTTCAAGTCGCAACATAGACTTTTTATATTTTCAGCTAATGCAAGGAATACTAAGAGAGACACCACCCAAAGAGACAGGGAGGGAGGCGGGGAGCAGGAGAGGTGTGGAGAAGGAGCCATGTGCAGATGGGAAGGGGAGAAAGGAGGGTGGGGCTGGAGGTTCGGATGGGAGTGTTTGGCCCTTGACCTGGATCCTCACCTAGCAGCTCCGGCAGGAAGTCTCAGTCCGTGCCTGACGTCCTCTCCTACTCTGCTCCTCCCCTCCCCCTCCTTCCCCTCCCCCCTCCTCACCCCTTCCTCCACCTCTCCAGCTTTCTCTTTAATTAACATAATGCTAATCAGCCTTGCGGAAATTGCCCTCTGTCTTTGGTGTTGCTTCCTCTCAAGGTCCTGACTTTTCTGAGGTCCATTCGAGACCTCTGCAGGTTGGTTTAAATCTGCCGGAGAGATCTCTCTGAGGAGGGTTTCTCCACACACAGCTACAGGATTTAGGTGAGTTGTAAAAATGCATTCAGCCATAAATCTCTTATTTTTTTTCCCTTACAGTGGAAGAACAGCATGAAATAGCATATCAAGATTCTCTCTGAACAAGACATTTATGCTAGATTTCAGTCTTTTCCCTCCTTCCTCCCCACTCCACTTAGCCCTCCCTCCATCCT